TACACTAGCATACACTGGCACCCCAGTATGTGCAGCTGCATGGTTGGGATCCTGTTACTGGAGTAGGCCCATTGAATCGGTTGTTGATTGGCGAGTCAGTATATCATTCATCAGGATTCATCAGTTCTACTCTAATCTAGACACAACTCACAATAGGATTTAAGACCATGCAAAAGGATTATGCTTGTGGAATACCATTTAATGCAACCATATCCCCCGAAAACCCTACAACTGCATATGGATTAAAATATACGCAGAAAGGATTCCAGCCATTTCCTCATGTATTTCACCAGCGGGAGGCACATCTTCAATGTCCAGAGGCTGTATTTTGTGGATTTTTTAAAAGCAGGACACACCCATTGTACAACACAAATTAGTGTTTTGACATCCTGAAGTCTGTTGAATAGCTGCAACATAATTTTAGGATGAAAAAAACATTGGCAAGTATGCCAGGACCTTTGAGGGGTCAGTGTGGGTCCCAAAGGAAGCCCCCACACAGGACTTCATGCTTTTGCAATATCCAATCCTGGTTTAAGTTTTTCTTCAGTTTGAAGATATAGGGCAAGGGTTGTTTTGTTTCAAGGATTATATTTCAAAAGAAAGAACTGGGAAAACTACTTCTGCATATTCCTTGCCTTGAAAACCCCCCACATTTTGTAGGGCTGGCATAAATCGGCAGTGAAGAATATAATCTAGATTACTTAACTGAAGGATATACAGGCAGTGCCCAAGTTATGAACAAGGTGGGTTCTATAGGTTTGTTCTTAAATCGACTTATATAAGTTGGAACATGTCTTAAGTGGAACTCCAGCCAAATATATACATATATACATAGAGAGAGATAACACTTTGGATCGCATAGGGAAGAGTTAACACCCCTGTGGTGCTTCTTTTGCTGCCTGTGCCCTGTTCAGAAAATTTCACCTCACATGCTGTCCCTGTGATAATTGGATTTTGAAAAAATTGGCTTGTTGTAGAAATAAGGATCAGTAATAAAGCTTCAGTAGAGACACCTTTTTCCCCATGATAACTCTTTCAGGGGTGAATTTCCCTTCGGAGGGGTAGATTTTTCTCACTTTCTGTTGTCTCACCTCCGTTCTTAACTATGTGTCATTTGTAAGTCAGATGTTTGTAATTTGGATACTTTGCACCCTTCTGTGTGTGTATGATTTGTGTTTACATACAAGCATGTTCTTCTAACGAAGTCAATATTTTCATCCTTCTCCTGTAAACTCATCAGTACCTTTTCCCAGAATCTTGCCTCTTTCAAATGTGTTGGTATCAAGTTCTGCAAAATGGTTACATTTTCTGCTTGTCTTGTGATTCCTCAATTAATACATCCCAAAATAACATAGACTTGCTCTTTGTAAAAGCGCCAGATTCTTCTGTGCAGCATAAACTACTGTGAATTGGGAGTTGTTTCCTGAAACACTGCATTTTCAGAGTAGAGAAAAACAATTTGGGGGAATAGCCAAAATCTTAGTCATGTCTACTCAGAGCAAGCCTTCCTTTGTGGAAATGGGGTTATTCCTGACTCACTGTGTACTATGCAATATATGACATTGCGACGTAATTGAAATTCTCAGTAATCTACTTCACATGCTTGTATCCACTTTAAATGCATCTTTAAATATATGCTAAGGGGGAAGGCACCGGAGGGGAGGGGGTGAAAATGAAGATAAAATTGTATTAACTGTTTGCTTGTTTGTTGGTTTGTTTTTTATAAGTGTCACTTGGGCTGTTTTGCATTTTCCCCAAGTACCAAGCCTGATTAAAAACACCAGATTAAATGTAAAGGTTTCCTCTGACATTAAGTCTAGTCGTGTCCAATTCTGGGGGGGGGGGGGGGGGTGTGTGTGCTCATCTCCATTTCTAAGCTGTAGAGCCAGCATTGTCCGTAGACACCTCCAAGGTCATGTGGCCAGCATGACTGCATAGAGAGAGAGAGAGAGAGAGAGAGAGAGAATTGTGTATATGTATGTATGTATGTATTTAAAAAAAAGAAAAAGATCAGACATTGCAACAATTGTAGAGGCATCTTAAAAATGGAAGGCTTGCATCCCAGAGTTGGACACACACACACACACACACACACACACGTATGTATGTATGTATGTATGTATGTATGTATGTATATACAAGAAAAAGATCAGACATTGCAACAATTGTAGAGGCATCTTAAAAACAGAAGGGTTGCCAGACCACTTTAATTTCAGATCTGTGTTCAATGAAAAGAGGAGTATAGAGACATTTGGCATGAACAAGCGACAACGCTAGCAGAACAGATGAAATCAGGACCACCCTACCAAGGCACTCAGATACCTTGGTGGGGAGGGCTGTAAGACAGAGAGGCAGGCAGGCCAACTGGCAGGCCAGCCACCAGGATTTGTTTTAAAGCCCAACCACAACTACTGGGAAATCCTCTGAGCGGCTTCCATATCAGCAAAACCACAAATCTGCTGGGAGTTTTAGTCTGATTTTTGAAGGCACTTCCAAATGTGCTGAAGCTGTTTTGAGGATTGCTGTTTTAAAATTCAGACAGAGGACAGATCCACCACCCCAATAGTATGGACTCCACCAGTTGCCATGTCTCTTCCTGGTCCCCGTTTCGAGAGAGACCACGTGATGGAACACATAATATAACTTCCAATAATTAGATGAGCAGACAGGTTCATGCAGGGCTTAGTTACTCCTTATATTAAACACTGGATAATGTTAAACACTATGGTAAAGGTAAAGGTTTCCCCTGGCATTAAGTTCAGTTCTGTCTGACTCTTGGGATTGGTGCTCATCTCAATTTCTAAGCTGAAGGGCTGGTGTTATCCGTACATGCCTCCAAGCTAATGTGGCCAACATCACTGCGTGGAGTGCCATTACCTTCCCACCAGAGTGGTATCTATTGATCCACTTACATTTGCATGTTTTTAAACTGCTAGGTTGGCAGAACCTGAGGCTAACAGTTGGAGCTCACCCCGCTCCCCAGATTCAAACTGCCGACCTTTCAGTCAGCAGTTTCAGCAGCTCAGCAATTTAACCCACTGTGCCACTGGAGGCAGCCATATGTAGGAATACATATACGTGCAGCTGAACACCTTATATAAGAAGGAAACCACCATGAAAGAGTAGGAGAGACTTTAAACCTATACATACAGCCATTTGTTTCTTCCATTCAAGAGGCTAAAAAGAGAGGAAGAGCCTCAGTTGATCCTTTTTGAGTTTTTTAAAGCCCCTGGATGTTTCTAAGCAAAACCACCTTAGGGTTCGTTTTGGTCCTCTGCTATCTTTGTGTGGCGGTCCTGATCCAGGCCACGGCTTAACCTTCTTATGGAGGAGCAAGAAAATAAAAGCGCCTTCAAGCTACCCATTTATATTCTGTCAGAAATCATGGGTTTCTCACAGTTTTCTCTGTGAACAACACTTGAGTTGTTCTAGTTTTTGTAACATACCACCATCTCCTTATCCGTGCGCACACATGCTTGCACACACACATAATCAGACTTAGAGTCACAATTGTAGAGCAGCTTTTCAGGAGCATCTTTCTGTGCATATGAGCCTGTGAACTGTTCAGCCTCAACCATAGCTGGGGAACAAGAAGGGTGTGGCTTCAAGTTAAAAAAAACCTGTGGCTTGAGGATCTGAAGGAGATCAGCTGCTTTCCTCATGTCACCAGTCATCCCCCCAAGTTGCATCTCTTGCCTCCCCCTTCCTCCCCTCCATCTCAGTTATCAGGCAGCAGATTAGGAAAGCTGCTTCACCAGGCAGCTGATCCACTGATGGACAATGAGTGACTAAGCAGCACGGACTCGCTTGGCATTTGGCCTCCCATTCCAGCCATTTGTTCCGCTTTATCACCCCCTGATAGCCTTGGTGGTTGTTCTGTGGGTCTTGAACTGTGGGTGTTTGGAGAAGGTCTTATGAATTTGAGCAAGGCCAGCCCTTTGCACCTTGAGCTATTTGGGTTGTGTGTGCAAAAAGGAGCTGGATAAGATAATGCAATCCAAAATTTCAAGACATTGCAAGGCACACAGTTCTCTCTCTGCTTATCTATTCAAAGCAACCCTCACTAACTCCAGTGGGATTTCCCCTCCAGTAACTTGTGTATATCGAATTGCAACCTTTATGATAATGTTTTCCCAAGAGCGTCATTTACTTAGAGGTGAATGACTTGCCAAAGTGTGGAGCAACAAAAGGATGCTGACAGTATTGGGAAGACATGACAAGTGTGGAGCAAGCTGCTAAAAACTCCTCATCCCACACCCACTGCTAAGTTCAGCCAGTGGCTTTAAAAAGAAACAGCACAACATTACTGGGGATTTGGGGATGCTTTGGACTCTCTTGCCAATGTATATCTGGGCAGGGAAGCTCAAATCTTGGTCCTTTAGGATCCTCCAGAGCCACTAATGCCCCCTTCCCCGTGGCACTGTTATTTTGCCAGGTTTAAAATGGTTTTCCCACTTTCTAAAAACTTGTCTTGCCTCTCCTATGGCTTCATAAGTGACAGTGAGAACTTTAGGTTAAACTATGTCCCTATTTTTGGTTCTGCTCTTTTGACTTTGGCCCTGCTCAGCCCTGAATTGGGGACCCCAAGTGTATCTCTGAAAAATGAATTTGACCCTCAGTCTAAAAAAATATTTCCTTCCCTTACAAGACAATATGTCCCTAATTTAAATGATCTTAGTACCCTCTGGAAGTGTTATATTACAAAACTCATCATTCCCATCAAGCATGAGGAAGACACTAGGTTGAGAAAGGCTGTCTCTTGTGTAGCAAAACTGTAGATAAATGGAAAATTCCAGCACATTTTGCTGTACACATTTTAGGGGAATATTTATTTTATTTACTGTATTTTTATCTTGCCTTTCTCCAAATATAGGACAAATGATGTAGGAGTCATGTGTACGTGAGACAGAGAGAGAGATGGAGAGTTGGGACAAGAGAGTTCCAATTGTGTTCAGGAGCCCACAACCTTGACACTAATCAAGGTTTCTTTTTCTTTCTAGGTCAGCTTCCCAGATGTTGAGAAAGCTGAATGGCTCAACAAGGTGAGAAAAGGGGTGCATCCTTGCCAGCTGTTTCTCCCCAGCCATGGCTGCATGACAACACTAACAACAGCACCTTTATCTCTTTTTCTCGGTGGTAGATTCTGGCCCAGGCCTGGCCATTCTTTGGCCAATACATGGAGAAGTTATTGGTGGAAAACATCGCCCCAAGCATCCGGGCCTCCAACACCCATCTGCAGACTTTCACCTTTTCCAAAATTGACATGGGAGAGAAGGTAATGTCAACAGAAGACTATTCAGTCAAAACGAGGAACCCATAGGATAAGCACAATGCATTTAACCTCAGTCACATGTTCATCTTTCTCAAATTTATAATGGCTGTGTAATTCTCTATGTGATACCAACCTTCCCTAAAGCTATGTTAATAAAACTTTATTTATATTCTACCTTATCTCCCCAAGGAGACACAGGGCGATGTTAATATTCATAAAAATAAGTATTATTTGTTTAATTACTTATTTGCGTAAACAACTCTTGTCTCACTTTTTTACACCAAAGTGAACAATAAAGGATTTGTTTGTTTGTTTTTCCAAAAGCATAACTGCAATTTGTACATTGTGTGTTCATGTGCCTTCAGGTTGCCTGTTGACTTATGGCAACGGTTATGTGCCTGTATAAGAACCTATTCCGCAGCAGTGGTAGCTGCAAAGAAATCTTTTATTGCAGCCAACATTGGGACACTGTCAGTAATATCAGCGTTTGTGTTTGCTTTTCTTGCAGATTTTCTCTGCATTCCTTCTTTTCTTTTATAATGCTACCGGCACATTTTGTATCACTGCAAAAAGTACAATTAGTGTTATTGAATTTTACAATTTTGCTGCATAATGATTATTTTTGTTCCTCAAGTTGTGGTGATCCTATATTAATGGACTGAGAGCCACAATCTCACATCCTCCTCTTTTAGTTTAGACATATAATCATTATCTCATTTATGCTCCTCCTGTTTCCACATTAGATGTAGAGCTACATAATAGCCCACATATCTGCAATTTTGTTCTCAAATTTAGTTCTGAAGGAAGACTCAGTGTTTTGTTTATTACTCACTAATGTACTGCATTTCTATACTAGCTTTCTCTTAATGCAGTTGTATTTTGTTTTTTAAAAGTCTTCTGGACACTGAGTAGGATCCAGGGGTTGAGAATATTTTAAAAGCTCAGATTCCCCTGAAAAGCACAACCAATGTCTACTGTAGACTTAGGTAGCTCTTACCACATTCCTTATTTATCCCTCTTGACTACTATATTTGAATGCTGGTTTTATGACACCCTTAGGTTTGGTGTCTTGATCTTCTGTTCTTAGAAAGTGAAAAATCACTGTAAAATACATTTATCAAAAGAATGGTGGCATATGTATTTATTTAATTACTATATTTAAATACCACCTTTCTCACCCTGGGGTGGGGTGGGGAGCAAGGGAGGGGGATCAAGGTGGTTTACAACCTATTAATGGCAAAAAATCAATGCCATATACATATAGAAAGAAAAAATCATAATAATTAAACACTAACATATAACTATAAATTAAAAGTATTAAAACAATTAAACATAAGACAAAAACAACATTTAAACATTAAAACAAAGCATTAAAAACATCCTTGTATAAATATTAAAATCACATGATCCATGTAGCGTTTTCCTATAGAAATTAGTTGGTACAGTATGGAGGTTAAAGTTGACTTCCTCTAGATGCATTATACTACAGCTCCTGTGAAAATCTTTGTGGGCATTGGGAGTACCACCCGTGGTGTCTCCATAGGTTGGGGCTACAGAAACAAGTTGTCCTGTGAACTTGTCAGGGATAGCCTTACATTTCTTAGACCCAGAGCATCCTTTCCCTATTCCAAGATCAAGTCTGTTAATGATACCAGTTTAGATCTGGTGTATTTCTCTCCCCATTGAAACCAGGAACATACATACAGAAACAGACACACTGATCCCATAGACTATGGTCTTGTGATCCTAACCAAATGAATCCAGCAGGTTTGTTTTATTCTTTCTGGGAGGAAATATTTTTTTCAGATTACCACTCTATATTAGCTGGAGGTTGTAATCCAGAGAAGTCCATTTTTCAATCTGTGCTCATGAGCAGAGCTTCATCTTATAGCTATCATACCACATTCTCTCTGTATGAATAAAGAAGGAGAGCTTTTCCTTACCTTTTCCTGACTTTTTCATACACACGGATAATTTTTTCTTGTGTTAGGAGGAACTGCAATTCGCTTCTGGTGTGAGAGAATTGGCCATCTGCAAGGATGTTGCTTGGGGGATGTTGGAATGTTTTTTTACCATCCTGTGGGAGACTGCTGACAGATGGGATCTCACGCTGCCACCAGATTCGGACTGCCGACCTTTCGGTCAGCAGTTCTACCAGCACAAGGATTTAACCCATTGCACCACTGGGGGCTCCTCACACAGAAAACGAAGTTTGTAATGAACGTAGAAATGTGCTGTGTTAGCATCTCACTGGTGCAGCTATCAATTTATTGTTTAATAGTTGTTTTAACAGTTGCCCTAACTAGCAACCTATATTCCAGAGAGGGAGAGAATCTTTTCTCACATTGACTGACCCGCTCAGAGGTGGCTGGACAGGTTTCAAATAATTATCAAACTTTTTGGTTCCTGTCCAGCCAGGAACTGGACAGGAACCAAATAGTTATCAAAGTCAAATGCAATCATGCATACGTAGCCAATGACTTAGTTGCCCAAACACACTGAGGAAAATAGCAAAGAAGGTGGGAGTAATGCCAATAACTATGTTTCTTCTACTTACAGCCCCTCAGAGTCATTGGAGTTAAGGTCCACACTGGCCAGAACAAAAAGCAAATTTTGCTGGATCTAAATATCAGGTGAATATGATTATTTTATATATTGTTGTGTTAACTCCATTTTCAGAGCATAGAATCACAGAGTTGGAAGAGACCCCAAGTGCCATCTAATTCAACCCCTGTTTTGCCATTCAGGAACACACAATCAAAGCACTCCTTACAAATGACCATCCAGCCTCTGCTTAAATATCCTTGGAGAAGGAGGCCCCCATCACACTTCAAGGCAGTCTGTTCCACTGCTGTACCATTCCTATAATGTTTAGGTGGAATCTCTTTTATTACAATTTGAATCCCTTGCGTCTATGGCAGAAAATAAGCTTTCTCTGTCCTCAGTATGACATCCTTCCAATTATTTAAACACAGCTAACCCTTTCTTCTCCAAGCTAAACATACCCAGCTCCCTAAGCCACTCCTCTTAGGGCTGTGCCTCCAAATCTTTCACCATGTTGGTTGGCCTTCTCTGGACACGTTCCAGTGTGTCAATATCCAGAGCTCATGAAAATGGAGTGTTTGTTACTGCAAGACTAGCAAAATATTTGTCACATTGACGAGTTGTATTATGGTAGTTGGGTGTGGACTGCACCTTTTTTTTTTAAAGAGTACATTCCCTGAGGGCAAATTTTGTTCTGCACCAAGATCTCTGGTCTGCATCGCAATGGGAAAGACAATTTCCTTTCCGCTGGGGTAGCCCAGCTTGGACCTTTGTTAGGTGGCCTTCTTTTGAAAGAGACAGATGTTGACTAGAAGGTGAAACAAGACCATGGAATGAGCCTCCATGAGCCAGCCTTGAGGCATGCAAACTTCCTTTCTACGAGCAGAACAGAGATTCATGGTATTCCAAGGTACATGGGCATCACAAGTGTCTGCTCCCCCAGATGGGGTTCAGATGGGTCAGGAGAACATACCAGACCTTGTAAAACCTATGTTAGGGACTACAACTCCCATAATCATTCAGGCAGGAGACCTATAGTTTAAATTGTTTTCAACCTCAATATTAGCAGTCTTTTAGCAAGCACCCCAAATGGGTAGGTGTTAAGAGAAAACAATTTTCTTACACCAGGGTTGACTTAAGTGCTCCCTGCAGGCCCCATGGGGTGTGTGCCTAGCACAGTGGTTCTCAACCTGTGGGTCCCCAGATGTTTTGGCCTTCCACTCTCAGAAATCCAACAGCTGGTAAACTGGCTGCGATTTCTGGGAGTTGTAGGCCAAAACATCTGAGGACCCACAGGTTGAGCGCCACTGCTATAGGAGGTTGGGGTTTTGTTTCATTTCATGTATTTGCTTTTGCAAAATGCAATCTGGAGGTATATGTGGAGACCACTTCCACCATAGTTGGAGGTTTCCTGGATCCTCCTGGGATCAAATAGTTTTTTCACAAAATACGTTCACATTATTGTTTGCCTAGGGAGGACAAGAGATATTTCCAGTATGTTTTGACCCTACCTGGGCTAATTTAAACCCAATAGAAACCTGAAAAAACAGGACATGGATAGCATTCACTTCCTGATATTTAAAAATAGGCCTCTCCTGTGCCTAAAATGACCCAAATCATGTGGGGGAATGTCCTCGAGAGCGCATCTGGAGTTTGGGGCATTTATTCTTTCTTCTTTGTAGGAGCAAGTGAAAGGGCTTGTTGCCCTCCAAGGTCTCCTGGGAGGCTAATGTAGTCCCCTGCTCTTCCACAGTTGCCCACCTCTACCACAGGCTCACGTTTGCTCATTCTTGCTAATCTGGGTTCCTTTCTTTTCTCCTCCTGCTCCTTGGATAACAGCTACGCGGGTGATGTCCAGATTGACGTGGAAGTGAAGAAGTTTTTCTGTAAGGCAGGAGTGAAAGGCATGCAGGTAAGATGGATCAATGCAGATGCTTTTTTCCCCTTGTCAGGAGTGACTTGAGAAGCGGCAAGTCACTTGAGGTGTGAGAGAATTGGCTGTCTGCAAGTACGTTACCCAGGGGATGCCCGGATGTTTGATGTTTTACCATCCCGTGGGAGGCTTCTGTCATGTCCTTACATGTGGAGCTGGATTTGAACCGTTGACCTATTGGTCAGTAGTCCTGCAGGCACAACGGTTTAACTCATTGCACCGGGGGGGGGGGGGGGGGCTTCTTGCTAATCTAGGTTCCTTTGGTTGAGATGCAGAGGCTGAAATCGTGATATGTGGCAACAAATTCCAAATTCAAAGGCTTGGTGACCACATGGAGAGGAAGATAAAAGCCATACCAGCCATATTTGATCACTGAGTGGAGACTTTTATTGGTATCCTTTCCTTGCATAAACGCCATGAGTCATAACAAATCCCCACACAGTTCCCAAAATGAGACTTCAGCTTACCTTTGTGCTAAGTGGAGTGTGGCAGATTGCCCTCTGCTGTTTGTCATTAGGAGCTGCATCGCTGGTAACATGTCTAGAAGCATTGTTGGGCCAAATGGCATTGAAGTTGGATCCTGAGCTCGATTCTGAGAAGAGGAATGAAAATCCTGTTGACTGTGAACTGGATCTCAGTGTGTTCCCTTTTTTCTTTCAGTTGCATGGCATGTTACGGGTGATCCTGGAGCCGCTCATTGGCAATGTCCCAATTGTAGGAGCGCTCACCATGTTCTTCATTCGCCGGCCAGTAAGTGTTCTGTCACAATATCCCACACTTGAACAACAAAGGCTGATGTGAAGCAGTTTCATGGAAACTTTTAATTCTGCAGCTGGCAAAAAGTTCCTTATTAAAACCAATTAAATTTCACTCAATTCCATAGCTGCCAATTCCCCAGATAATGTTATCATAGAATCATAGAGAGACCACAAGAGACATCTAGTCCAACCTCCTGATCAGGCCCCATAGGAGCCAAGTACAATATGTTGGGAGAAGAATTATATGCTATCTTCAGACCTGATCAATTTCCCCACTCCAGTCTCAACTGCCCATTCCTACCCAGTGCTCTGTGATTGGTTTTAACTTCTGAACCTTACTCCTTTCCTCTCAGACTCTGGACATTAACTGGACTGGAATGACCAACCTTTTGGACATCCCTGGGCTGAGGTATATGTTTCTTGAGTTGCCTTAAAACTTTTGTTGGGTCCTTAGAGAGGGTCAAAGAGAAACATGTACGACATGTTCAACAGTGAGAAGAAAAATGGAGTAGAAACCAAGAATATACTCATAAAGAGGCTACAATGCCCGATTTTGCTATTTGGGTTTCCTTTAACTGAGGTGACAGAGTTACTGAGTAATAGGGACACAGATGGGGAAATTATATACAACAAGCAAAAACGTAGTAGCACTCAGTGAAATTCACAAGTGAAACAACACACTCAAAAGATGTTCTGTTTATTACCTGAACAGCTTAAGCAGACCTCTTGAGCATTTCGAAATTTGTGTCCTTTCTGTTTGGGAAAATTTTATAGACAGAATCTGAGGGGTCAGCTAATTTAACTAAACTGAATTGGTTTAATTCTGTTTTAATATTTACTACTGTATATCTCTTTTTAAGTTGTTAGCTTCTTTGGGTCCCAACCAGAGAGGGGGAGACGTATAAATAAATATAATAAATATAATAATAATGGGAAGGAAACCTTGTTCAGGGGAAGAATTCACCGTAGAAGGAATGCATTCTGACACCACTTGAACCACTGTGGCTCAGTGAGAAGGAGGCTTGGGAGACATAGTTTCCCAAGGTCTTTCACCATCTCAATATACAAGGGGCACCACCTTCACTGTGGAAGGAATACATTATGATATCACTTGAACAGCTGTAGCGCAATGAGAAGTAGACCTGGGAGTCATAGTTTCTAGGGGATTGAAGGATATGTAGTTGCAACAGAAGTTCTTCTAGGATAGCATTGTTGTAGAGGAGATAAATTGTGTGACAGCAGGAAGGATATTGTATGATAAAACTGTAGACTTTTCTCTGCAGCTCACTGTCTGACACCATGATCATGGACTCCATTGCCTCTTTCTTGGTCCTCCCCAACCGCTTGCTCATCCCCCTGGTCCCTGATCTCCATGAAGCAGCTCAGCTCCGCTCCCCAATTCCCAGGGTAAGGCAGACATTTTTTTCTGTGACAGGGACAGGTGTTGCCTATGGGGTCTGAGCCCTTTACCTGAGGCACCTTCCATTTTCTCCCTTCCAGGGCATTGTTCGTGTCTATTTAATGGAGGCTAAGGACCTACAGTCCAAGGATAAGTACATCAAGGGGATGATTGAGGGCAAGTCAGACCCATATGCCGTTGTGCGTGTGGGAACCCAGGTCTTCACCAGCAAAGTCATTGACGAAAACCTCAACCCCAAGTGGAATGAGATGTATGAGGTAATTTGCTGCCGACTAAACTGGAAACATTTCAGTGCGGATCTTTAGGGAGATGCTCAGCCTCCTTTCTGCCCTTCCCTCCTGGCTTAGCTTTACCTCTTCATGCAACACAACTCTTACTCCTTTCCTTTCTCTGTCTGAAGAGGGCCCCACTGGCCTATGCACTAGGCCCTGTCTGCTCTGACCCCCACCTCACTATCCCCACAGTTCATTGTACACGAGGTGCCTGGGCAGGAGCTGGAGGTGGAGCTCTTTGACAAGGATCCCGATCAGGATGACTTCTTGGGCAGGTGAGCAGCTGGTCCTGTTTCCAGCTCTTAGCAGGGGAGTGAGAGCTAGTTGGATGAGGAACTGGGAGACCAAGCTGTTGGGCTTTTTTTGATGGTACGGAGTGGTAGGAGTGAGACCAGTGGTGGAGTCCAGACAACTCAGGCCCCAATCTCAGGGTCAGTGGCTTCAACTCTGAAGGTTAGATTGTCTTAGTGAACAGGCATCTGGAGAGATTGTTTACACTAGGCATGGGCAAACTTTGGCCCTCCAGATGTTTTGGACTTCAACTCCCACAATTCCTAACAACCAGTAGGCTGCTAAGAATTGTGGGAGTTGAAGTCCAAAACACCTGGAGGGCCAAAGTTTGCCCATGCCTGGTCTAGACAAAGGTAATTTGATCTGCCATTCTTCAGTATTGGATATACAAATGTCATTTTCTTTCTTTTCTAAGGATGAAGCTGGACTTTGGGGAAGTGAAGCAGGCCCGTGTGTTAGAAGAGGTGAGCACTGAAATCAGAACAGGGCTGGCATTTCTAAATCTAGAAAAAGTATCTATGACTTGCTCAATGAAGAATGGCAATTTGTCATGGTATGGTGAAGTGTCTTGAGGGTAATATCAGCTGGAGTTGGGTTCAAGTGTGGATAACAGAGGGAACCACATTTAAAACAGAAAAGCTGCTGTCTTGCCTTGCTGGACAATGTGGTTAGATGAAAGCTCATGGCTTAAAAGAGAGAACAACCTTCCAGTTTCCGTGTAGGCCATTCGTGGAGTGTCCTCAGGACAGATGCAACTTGCAGCCCAGAATTTGTCTGCTATGGGTGTTGGCCAAACATAGGCACATTTTTAAAGTGTGGTTTTGAAATGTATGCAAAACACTGCTTAAACACACTTTAATTGGTGTACGTTAATGTGTTTAAACAGTGTGTGGAAATTAAAATAATCATATAAATGCGTGTGCACATTTGAAAAATAAAAGCAAAGCAAAAAAAAAAAAAAGCATCACAGAACCAATTAGCAGAATCCAAATGGTCTAAAATGACCCTAACAGTGAGAGAACAAGGTACAGCCCAGACAGGAAATGGGAAAGAGAAGACGCCCAGGGTGTGGGACAATCGAGATATTGACATATCTGTTAAAATTGGAAGATTGGCCTCCATGTCCTTCATTCTCTTTCACCTTCTCTTCCATGGCAGTGGTTCCCATTGCAAGACGGTGGCCGGGCGCGTGTGCATTTGCGCCTGGAGTGGCACACGCTTATGTCTGATACCTCCAAGCTTGATCAGGTGAGTGCTGTCATTTATGGTGGAGGCTGGAGAGTCCAGGACGCTTTCTGCAAAGTGGGCTGCAGAGGAGGTCACTGCTCTTCATGCAAACAAATAATGCCCGATGTCATCTACTCTGATTAGAGACAGCCAGTTCTCTCACACCAGAGGCGTCTTGCAGTTTCTCAAGTCACTCTGACATGAAAAAAAGCATTACTTCTGTATGTTCATAGTACAACCAGGAAATGAAAGTTCCCTTTAAAGTGGAGACAGCAAAGCCCACTGAGATAGTTTAGTGTCATTCTGTGAAGTGTTTCTTCAGTGACTGATTTACTTTGAGAGAGAACATGGTGAGAGGACACTGACACTGGACAGACTGCAGAATCCTGAGGTGCATATAGTTCGGTTCTCATGAGGCATTTGGGATTCTCACTGAGAAGCTGGCTTTGAAGCCATCATGGAAGGGATGATATAGCCTGGGCTTAAATGAACAGATAACAAAGGAAGGATAAATGATACATTTTGGAGAAAGTGCATTTTGAGTTGTAAGCCACAACAGTTTTGTCGTTGTCTGGGGAGATAGCCTACTACAGGGTGATAGACAGATGTTTGGGAAGAAACGTTAGAGCTGAATTGCTTTTTTTATTTACTACTTGAAGGTTCTTCAGTGGAACAAAACTCTCTCCACCAAGCCAGAGCCCCCGTCAGCTGCCATACTGGTTGTCTATCTGGATAGAGCACAAGAACTCCCAGTAAGTGCTTAGAAGAAATCTTTTGCTTGAAGATATCCACCTTCCCATGAAATAACATATCAGAAAGGGCCCTTCTTTCTCTCTGTACTTCCTTTAAGAGAAATGCACCTCTAATAATCAATACCAAACATAACTTTTTCTGGAGTGGTGCCCCAATGCCTTACCAAGCTTTGCTTTTTCCCGGCTCTGTAATTATTGGTAGGGAGCCAAAAAACTTTTCTATTCTTTTTTTAGTTTCATAGGAATTTTAAAAAATGGAACAATTTTATATTTTAAATACAGATTTGTGTTTCTTACAAATTATCATTTTACAGTTCTCAGTTCTTCCATTTTTTTTTGTTTAGATTTTTTTTTATTGCATTGATGCTCAGTTTTTATATATGGCATTCTCCTTGGGGTGAAGGGCAGTCTTTTAATTTTAAAATAGATGTATCAAAACCTCTAACTGTCTCTTCTTGCAGCCAGATCTGGATGGGGTAGATCAGTTTGAATTTCTTATTTTGTCCAATCTCAAAGCTTTGATGTGGTAAAGGCAGGATGAAAACATTCATATAGCCCAGTGGTTCTCAACCTGTGGGTCCCCAGATGTTTTGGCCTTCAACTCCCAGAAATCCTAACAGCTGGTAAACCGGCTGGAATTTCTGGGAGTTGTAGGCTAAAACACCTGGGGAGCCACAGGTTGAGAACCATTGGGCTAGATGAATGTTTTCATCCTGCCTTTGCTACAACAAAGCTTTGAGATTGGACAAAATGAGAAATTCCCACTGATTTACAACAGATTGAGACCCACTGCTAGCCATTTTTGCAACATCGATGGACACCAACTTTGTTGGAGTTTTTTTTCCCTTTCCAAGCCATGAAAAATGTCGCACATTTGATGAACAGTAACATATAAGATATATCTTCCATCATGTGGAATGATTTCATGTATTAAACTGTATGTTACTTTAAGAGTCTCTTAATCTCTTAATAGCAGCACTTACCCACTTTTAGAATATGTTTGGGCCCTGGGAGAGGATATTCTTCACAGTTATGAGAGGATTATAAGAATGTGTTTCTGCGTTTCCTTGTTGTCCAAACATATAAACAAAAAGTGATGTCTGAGAGGCTTTTACTCTTTATATAGCACCATCAGCACCCACAGCGCTTAAGCAGAGTAACAACTGTGGGGATCAAAAAGGTAACAGCTGGTGGCCCAGGAGGCCAAAAGTGGCACCCCAGCTGCTTTCTCCTCCACAAGCTGACAAAGTCCATGTTCACATGTCAGGGCTGGCCCTGTCATTTCATATTTTCTTTGAGTGATCAGCACTGAGAAGCAACAATGGGAAGGAACGGGAAGTGAAAACTAGGTGCCACACATAGAATCATAGAATCAAAGAGTTGGAAGAGACCTCATGGGCCATCCAGTCCAACCCCCTGCCAAGAAGCAGGAATATTGCATTCAAATCACCCCTGACAAGTGGCCATCCAGCCTCTGCTTAAAAGCTTCCAAAGAAGGAGCCTCCACCACACTCCGGGGCAGAGAGTTCCACTGCTGAATGGCTCTCACAGTCAGGAAGTTCTTCCTAATGTTCAGATGGAATCTCCCTTCTTGTAGTTTGAAGCCATTGTTCCGCGTCCTAGTCTCCAAGGAAGCAGAAAACAAGCTTGCTCCCTCCTCCCTCTCACATATTTATACATGGCTATCATACCTCCTCTCAGCCTTCTCTTCTTCAGGCTAAACATGCCCAGCTCCTTAAGCCGCTCCTCATGGGGCTTGTTCTCCAGACCCTTGATCATTTTAGTCGCCCTCCTCTGGACACATTCCAGCTTGTCAATATCTCTCTTGAATTGTGGTGCCCAGAATTGGACACAATATTCCAGTGTGGTCTAACCAAAGCAGAATAGAGGGGTAGCATTACTTCCTTAGATCTAGACACTATGCTTCTATTGATGCAGGCCAAAATCCCATTGCCCTGTCACCAAAGTTGAGAATTCAGCTGCCAGTTGGCTTTTATATGTAGCATGGAAGTCTCTAAGACAGGATATTAATTTTAGTAATAAGTAAAGCAATGCTTTCTCTCCCTTCAGCTGAAGAAATCCAGTAAAGAGCCCAACCCTATGGTGCAGCTCTCCGTCCACGATGTCACCCGGGAGAGCAAGGTAAGGGCTTGGACTGATTCATTCTCGGCTCTGAATGGTTGCCTCCCAAGCATCTCCACCAATTCAGTATTTTTGGTAGATATACAGTCATAGAGTTTGCTAAGTACTTGCCAGATTTTCAGTTCTTTTTTCTTTCTGTAGAATATAGCCAATAAAGTGATTAATGTCACATGGAGAACTGTATTGTAAACAAGATAGATAGGTGGAAGTGATGACCATTTGAGACTGCTACTCTTAGTCCTCTTGACAGCAAAAGCCTTAGAATAAAATTTGCTCCCTGGAGGTATTCTCATCCAAAATTGGGTCTGGAGCTGCGATGGATGGGATCCTCAGTGCTCCCTTCCCTCCCTTTGGACTACTTCAGCTTCAGTCAATTTGGTATCTTTGGTGGGTCTCGGGTATTTCTCTCCTTGCCTTTCCCAGTGGTTCCCAACCAGCTGTTAGGAATTGTGGGAGTTGAAGTCCAAAACACCTTGAGGTCCAAAGGTTGGGAACCACTGTGAGAGGGTATATCTGCTCCCTTATCTCCTCTCCCTTTCTTTGCCAGGTTGTTTACAACACCGTCTCTCCCGTCTGGGATGATGCCTTCCGATTTTTCATGCAAGACCCAACTGCAGAAGACATAGATATACAGGTAAGCTTTGCCACCCTTTCTGCCTTTACTTTCCACCATCTTGCCATTTGGACAGTAAAAACAACTCTTCTTTTTACCCCTATCCCTCCTCCCTGCAGATCAAAGATGACAACCGGCAGACCACCCTGGGCTCCCTCACGATCCACCTGTCCCGACTTTTGAACGCTGACGATTTGACCCTCGACCAGTGGTTCCAGCTGGAGAACTCTGGGCCCAACAGCCGCATCTACATGAAAGTTGTTATGCGGGTAAACCCCTACCTTACATTTTAAAGGGGAAATGGTGATTGCCAGTGTGGAAACCAAAGAGGTCTTTCCTTTCTTTAATGATTGTATAGAAGGGAATTTCAAAAAGTGTTGGTTGACTTCAATTGTCCTTTCTCCCTTTCTGGTGGCATTCTGCTCCTTTTCAGTTTTGGGTAGGGATGAAATATCAACCCCACACCAGTCTGCCTCAAATTAGATTTGGTATGGAGCAGAACACATGTGTGTGTCACAGGCCTTGAAGAAAGTCCTTCTCCTTAAATGGAATCCTCCTTATACGTATGTTACTGTTTTTGTAGATCTTGTATCTGGATGCTCCTGAAGTTTGCATCAAGACCCGACCATGTCCTCCAGGACAACTGGATGTCACTGAAAGTGCCACAGTGGGCAGCAGCGTTGACCAGCCTCCTCGCCCCACCAAAGCCAGTCCAGATGCCGAGTTTGGCATGGAGGTAAGGCCAACCCCCTCCAGGCAACTCCAGTTTTCCTACTCCATATGGAGAACTGCTGGGAAAGACAGAGATTCTTTCTTAGGAGAGGGATATCAATCCTTTTGAGTGAGGAGGGGGCCTGTACAATAGGTGGGAAGGTCATATCAAGTGGGTATGGCCCTCTGAGGAGCCACATAAAACAGGATGTATCCCTGATCATAACCAAACTCAGGAGCAGACTGGATTTTGTTTTAATTCTGTTTTACAGCCTTTAAAGATCGAAATAACTAAATATATGATTGTGCAGAAATTGACAGCAAAGTGCAAAGTAATTCACATGAAAGCCATTACAAATCATTTGAAAAACCCAGTGGGATTGGAAGTGCTCACTAAACAGACTTCCAGGATCCCCCCCCCCCAAGCAGATAACCTTTTGTTAACATTAACCATTGACCATTTCCAGTTATTTTGTTTATGCAGTGGTCCCAATGCCAGCAATCCCCAAATAAACTTCCCCCACCTGCTATGAAAACATAAATAGTTTTACTGTCATGAAAACAAACACATAAGCTTCCTGCAAGCAATCTGGCTGGCTCTCCTGAGTCGATCTATTTAGACCAGTCTCCATTTTTCCACAAAAGCCAACCAATTGCCTCTGGGAAGCTTACAAGCAGAATATAAGGGCAATAACTCTCCTCCATTGTTGCCCCCTATACATTTTATTTAATGGTAGCATTATACAGAATCATCACAGCTAGCAGACTTTGATAGGTTTAACCTCTCTGGAGTTGTTCAATATCTGCTATATACTCCAATATCAGTTGAGTTTCCATTCTCCGACCCACCTGTTCTCTCTCCTGCTTATTTATCGTGTCAGTAGTTAATAGAGAATACAGTTATAATGTATAAAAACCTCAAAGTTAAAACTTGGCACTATACTAAATGTCGTTTGACCAGAAGCTTGCCACTTAGAGTGCCTCTGGTATTACTTTGAGAAGGTCCTCCATTGTGCATGTGGCAGGGCTCAGATTGCATTATAATAGATGGTCTGTGGTTTGCTCTCCTCCACACTTCGTGGCCCCATTTTTTAAAGTTGGCTCTGCATCCCGTGGTGCCAGAGTGCAGTCTTTTCAGCGCCTTTCACGTTGCCCTGTCTTCTGTGTGCCCAGAAGGGAGTCTCTCATTCAGTATCAGCCACTGATTGAGATTCTGGTTTTAACCTGCCACTTTTGGACTCTCGCTTGCTGAAGTTTTCCTTCAAATATCTCTGTAAATCTTAGGCATTGGCTTGCTGGCTGATATCCAAACACAGGGTAGGTCGGAGATGTCAATGCCTTGGTCCTTTCATTGCTGGCTGATACTTCCCGGCAGATGTCAGGTGGTGCAATACTGGATAAACAGTATAATTTCTCCAGCAGCGTTGAGCGTAGACATCCTGTGATGATGTGGCCCCTGCTGCTGCAAACCATTGCATTATGATGATAAAGACGAAACTTGTGGTCCTTTCACAGTACAAAATTAAAGCTTTGTGTTCACTTTGACTGCCACGATGCCATTCTGTGGGATCCTGGGATATGCATTTTGGGGAACAGCACCTCTAAGTCTCATCTGGAGGCATCTAGAGCTTCCCCAATCTACAATCCAGAGGATTCCATAGGCTGGAACTGTGAAATCTAAAATGCAATAACATGGTTGTAATTGTTCTTTGAAATTAATATTTGAGTTTCAAGAACAAATACAAATAAATAACAGAAGGCAAAAAATAAGAAGTAATCCACAAACAGGATCAGGTTGTGGACAAGGCACAAATGACATGTAACAGAATGTTCCATTAGTGTAGTTATTCAGACTGTGGTTGTTTGTCCTAGTTTAGTTTGGGCACCTCAGATAGAGAAACCCATTGCATTGGATGATGGTGGCGGTGGTGGAAGATCTGCCAAGCAAACTTTATAAACCACTTGACATCTAATCCTACTTTCAGAGTGTAGTTCGCATTCATCTGCTGGAAGCTGAGAATCTCATTGCCAAGGATAACTTCATGGGTGGGATGATCAAGGGCAAATCGGATCCATATGTGAAAGTGCGTTTGGGGGGACAGAAGTTCCGCAGCCGCGTCATTAAGGAGGACCTGAACCCACGCTGGAGTGAGATCTACGAGGTGAGATTGTACTCCGTTATCAAGCCGAACTCTTCTAGACCTCCCAGGCTTGGCTGCGGATGAATAATGGTTGGATTTGCTCAGGGAACTGCGTTGCTCTCTTCTATTTCTTTGGGATTATATATTAACTATTTTCTCAATCCTGAAATAATTGAGAGAAAAAGATTAAACACCACTAATGTTGTTGAACTCTTAACTACTGGCAACCTTCACTATGCATAGCATCACGAGTATTTGAGATGTTTTTCAGATTTGGAGTACCAAATTTTTCAGCCCTTTTTAGATTGAAAAAGCCCCCCTTGGCTTATACTCAAGTCAAGGACAGTTATTACTTTATTCTATTATTTATTTATTTGAAACATTTATATTCCGCCCTTCTCACTCTGTAGGGGACTCAGGGTGGAGCACAACATATATACGGCAAACATTCAATGCCGGGACATAAAACCATAAATATACATAAATATTAAAATTACTTATATCCACTTGAAAATCAGTTGCTTAAAAACCATCTCTATTTAATATTATTATTACATTTGCATTATTTTACTATACTATTATTGTTATTATTACACTTATTATTTTACTCTGTTATTGTTATTATATTTATTATTTTACTCTATTATTATTTTTATTACATTTACTATTATACCCTCTTTATTATTATTGGAAGGATACGTAAGCACATTTATATTGAAGAAGATTAGAATAATCATTTACTCAGAGTTGGGCAGTCTTATCTTAAATGACGGTTTTATGTAAATCTTCAAAAACATTTAACCTAAAACATTTAGCCTCGGCTTATATTCGAGTCAGCTTATACGCAAGTATATACAGTATTTATATATAAAATCTTTTAAATGCAACCCAGGTCTAAATGCAAAATTCATTTATGTTTCTAATATGCCTTTTACACATAGTGTCAAAGTTGTTTTATATGCAATACGTTAAACAATTTTGTGCATGAAACAATGTTTGTGTACACTGACCCATCAAAAAGCAAAGGTATCGCAATCTTAGCCACTTTATGGACAATTTTGGATTTTGGATAATTCAAGATATGGGATGGTCAACTGTACTAGGTATGACTGTTATAGTATCTGTGTGAATCTTTAGAAATCACTAGACATTTCTCTTACAGCCCAGATGAAACATTTGAAAACTTTGTGCTGTTGCCTAAATCTATTATAAAACAATATATCTTTCCCATTAACCCTAAACTCTTCCAAACAGTGATCAACTAACCCTGCTTTTTTAAACTTCCCATCTGTAGTATTCAGCTGCTATTCAAAAAGGAAAGTTACTACCTCTTCCTCCTTCCTACTACCTCTTCCTCCTTCCTCCTTCTGACACTACCACTCTGGACCTACTATAGAATCAGTACACACACACGCTCAACACAAAACCTTTCTGAAAATGGTGCATGCCCCCATAACCAGAAATGAAATGATTACATGCTGTTCTGAAGTCTGGATGACAATTGGATGGCAGCAGAGGATGTCATCATTTTATGTCTGGCTGCAGGAACATAGCCAGGCATTTCTGCAATTCCCTCTCCCTCCTCCTCCCTTCTGGCCCTGAAATGGCCAAGAGGCAGCTGTAGTGTCTTGACTGTAGGTCCAGGGGGAAGGGATACATGGGGAAAAGCGTGGTCCACTGAACCACACAAATTATGACCTATATGTATCAACTCCCATTCATTGCTGATGTCTTATATATATATGTATGTATGTATGTATGTATGTATGTATGTATTTTATCTTGGACATCAGCAATGAATGGGAGTTGATACATATAGGTCATAATTTGTGTGGCTCAGCGGACCACGCTTTTCCCCATGTATCCCTTCCTCCTGGAAGCTTTTGTCACCTGGTGATCATGGTCTTGTTACTAGAAATCCTAAGGATAGCCAGAATTTGCCTTAGGCCTCAGCAACAGGCAACAGATCAATAAGGCAATCCTTTCTCTCTCAAACACTCTGTCTCTGTTAATTGACCCATAACTGAGTTCATTGATCATCCACACAATGAAGATAGAAAAACAGTAGTTTTCCAAAGTTTTGTCTACAATTTGATCAATGGCATCCTTTTAATCTGTCAAAAGTTTTAAAATAAATTAAGCAAATAGTGAAACATAAATCCTTTCTCCTCTTAAAAAAAACAAAAACATAAGGGCAAAATCTAGGAGGTCAGGAGTACATCTGTGCTACAAAGTTTATTCGCATTCAGTGCCACTTTACTGTTGTCACTCTATCCTGTGTTGAACCCAAATAATTTGTAATTTGATGGGGAAGGTGCTTAATGTTCTTTGCCAATGAGAGCTCCAGGAATTTGTTCACAAAGCTACGGTTTGCAGTATTTTGTGGAATGGGTCCATGGCAATAAAAGTGGCTTCAGACTGCTACAGCTGCACGGTACAGCTCTACTCCATGCCCCATCACCTGCTACTGGCCTAGCGCACTAGGTTATATTGCAGAACTGACATCAGAAGAACCCTTGGCTTTCACTTCTAATCCGGTCAATTCCCTTCCTTGGTCTGTGTTGTGACCCACTTTCCTCTTTGCTCCAGGTCATCGTGAGTGACATCCCAGGACAGGAAGTGGAGTTTGACCTCTATGATAAAGATGTGGATAAAGATGACTTCCTGGGAAGGTAAGCCTGGAACAAGCAGGGATAATTCAACAAAAGAGGAAAAAGCACTCTGAATTAAAACAGGGAAAAATGCTTAGATAGCCAGCATTCTTCAGGCAATGAGTGGATATACCATTCCCTTCCTATCGGTTTTTGTTAGTCCCACAGCCACTGATTTTATGCTAGTTTTGAGTCAGTATGGCACAGGAAAGGTCTAAAGGTAAGTTGTCTAAAACATTTCAAAATTACATTAAAACATATATTTAAGTGCCAGGCACTGAATCTTTATTCAGTCCCCTATGTTTTTACATCCATGAAGTACATTTTACTTCTTACAGAATAGTAGCATAGAATACTACGTGTATGTTTCCTCCCCTATGTTTTCATAACATAAATTGTGGTCTTTTTCATGTAAACTGAACATATACCTCCTCTGCCACCTACATCATCCATAAGTGTAATCTCTTTCTCATCTTCTACCCTGTACACCATGCTAGAATAGGGTCACCGAATCTCTGCTTTTGGTCCAGTTTTTAGATACTCGGAGATCCCTTGACCAGGCTTCACAGCGTTAAAGGGTTGAGAGACTCATAAGACTAACAGATCCAGAAGGCAGAATTAGTGAGTCTCTTCTTTCTTCAGCCAAACCCATGGAGCTCCCAGTGGCGTAATGGGTTAAACCCTCTGCCGGCAGGACTGCTGACCAAAAGGTCAGCGGTTTGAATCTGGGGAGTGGGATGAGCTCCCATCTGACAACTCCAGCTTCTCATGTGGACACATGAGAGAAGCCTCCCACAGGATGGTAAAACATCCAGGCGTCCCCTGGGCAACCTTGCAGATGGCCAATTCTCTCACACCAAAAGTGACTTGCAGGTTCTCAAGTTGCTCCTCGCACAAAAAAGCCAAACCCATAACATTCATTGCAGGGTGCACCATATTGGGCTCCAAGTCTCAGTATGTGAGCCAAGAACACACTGGAAATGAAATGACTCCCAAGCCATGAACTTAGTTTTCCCCATTATACTGGCCAAATATTTTAGACTTCAACTTTGATTCTTCACAATTGGCCATGAAAACTTTAGAGGGTGGAAGTAATTGTCTAAATATCTGGAGGTTGGGGAAACAGTAGCAGACACTCAAAGCATGGGTGGCAATTCCATCAAGAGTCCAGATGTAGCCAGTCAATAGAATCTGAAAAACCTGAGCAAAACTTACCCAGAGTATCACTACACTACTGTATTTTTAAAATTCTAATTCCTTAAAATGGAAACAAAAAATCTTCTGTAGTATCTGTCTCCTCAGAATCCATCATGAGCTAACCCATGGTGATGGTAGGGAATAAGATTAGGTTTTGTACATTATCCCCCCCCCCCCCCAAAGCACCCAATTAATTGTTTTTTGTATCAGAAAGAAACGTGTTTGTCTCAAAAGTGACCTTCTCTACCACTTGAAACCCCCTTAGGTGCAAGATCCCTTTGAGGCAAGTGCTCGGTAGCAAGTTTGTCGATGAGGTAAGATGAATCCACCTTTGGTGCTCCTCATCCTTTGTTCCTGGTTGGAGGCTGAAGGTCCCATTCTACAGTTGTGCTAATCTGGCTCCTTTTTTCTGCTTCAGTGGCTTCCCCTGGAGGATGTGAAATCGGGACGGCTCCACGTAAAGCTGGAGTGCTTGCCCCCCACATACAGTGCTGCAGAGCTGGAGCAGGTAATGGGGCCACCGGGAGGATTCCCTAGGGAGGGAAAATGACTCTTGGTTTGTAAAGTGGCTGAATGTTGTATGGAAACCCTTAAGGCATGTTGAGAAACAGTAGTAGCCAGGGATCTTTCCACTTGAGGATCCCTTTTTTTGGAAACAAAAAGGCTGTCTTGAGATGAATCGCCATATGATGAATGCAGACTGTCAAAGTTTTAAGTGTGTTTTCTGTAGAGTGTTCGTTAATGGTGGGCAGACCATGCAAAGCCATGCCTAAAACATAATCCTGTGGTTTTCTTTTGTGCAGGTGTTGATAGTGAACAGCTTGATCCAGACGCCAAAAAGTGAGGAGCTGTCATCTGCTCTGCTCTCAGTCTTCCTTGACAGGGCTGCTGACCTGCCAGTGAGTGGTGCTTTGAATCCTATGAGTTGCTTTTTTTCTTTGTTCTTTCTAGAGATCATTGGAGCTTCAAATTCAGGGCTGATCTCCACTTGGACAAGCTACAAAAAAGTACTGTCCTTTTGCAAGAGCAGAGGTAGAACATGGATCATTGTATTAGGATTTAAACACTTGGGTTCCTCCTGAGCACAGACTCGGATTCCTGTGAGTTCCACTGGTTTTCCTATTTGTATCTGGAAACAAGGTGGAAGGGTCTGTTATTTACATTGTAGAGAGAAAACATATATTTTCAATTGTATAACAGCAGTGAATGTTTGCCGTAAATGTACCTTTAATCCGCTCTGAGTCCCCTCAGGAAGATTGAGCAAAATCATCATCATCATCATCATCAAACAAAGTCCATTATTTTCCCACTGAAAACTTTGCATTTACACTGTCGTCTTCCAAAACGATAATCTTCCCACTCCACCCAGTGACAATTCGTTATACAAATCCTTCCCTCTGGGTTCTCCCTTCCTTTTCCTATTGTGTAGCTCTGGGCCTATAGCCAGGAGACACTCACAAGAACCAACATGTGTTTAGGAGGACAGTACATATTGTTGCCTTTGTAGGACTGCATCCTATTGACACTAACGGTGACAACACTTATGCTCATTTTTTGTCTTTCCCAGATGCGGAAGGGCTCAAAACCCCCAAATCCTTCTGTCAGCCTCTCTGTCCGTGGCATCTCCTATAAGACCAAGGTAAAGACCACAGGGAAGCATTTGCACCTCAGGGAAAGTGCAAGTTACAGCAGGTGATAATTACTGCTTTGTGGATCTGAGAACAAAGGTGGAAGGAAGTTATTTGAAGGCTGCTGGAATGGGGATGGAAACATATGGAGTCACAAAAGGGACCATTATAGCTTGGAAGAAGCCATGTTTGCCTATGCTTTAGCTGGCTTGAACTAAAATTGAATACTTTGTTGATGGCTGCTGACCTTAGGCCTATGTAGAAGACACTAAAGTACTGTTGATCTTGAAGGAAAATGTCTGAGCTCCGAAAAAGAGTGTGAGGTGGAAATGTAAAAAAGTACTTAATTGAAAGACCCCAAATATTAGCCTTGTATTGACGTATATCAATATAAATGAGACCCAGTGTAGTGTTGTGATTTGAGATTGGCTCTGGAGACTGGAGTTTGAATCACTGCTCACAGAAAAGCAAAAAACTCCTCTGGATAAATCAAATAAATGTCAAGTAATAAAAGTGCCCACAAATTAATTACATGGAAGTGAAAAGCAACTTTATTTTAAAAATATCCTTGTAACTGAGAACAGACATGGCCCTCCCTAAGCTTAGTGAGATTGAGTTATGACCTTGCTCTTCATTTCGTTAGTGTGTGACCAGTTTTGTAAGACCTCCTGAGGAAAGCAGCAACTGTCCTTTAAAACAGGGTATCTTTTTCTGTTTTGTATTTTCCAAATGTTGAAGGGTTTTACCCTGGCCTCTGTGGTCTCTGTCTCTGCCCTCAGGTCTCCTCACAGACAGCTGAACCAGTGTGGGATGAAGCTTTCTCCTTCCTTATCAAGAAGCCACACACCGAATCTTTGGAGTTGCAGGTACATCTCTCACCCTATCTCTGTCTGCCTGTCTCTCCACCTCTTTCCCTCAACCACCAGTAAATCCACCATTTTGGCCCCTGGCTAAACAAAGAGAACCTGCAAAAAGTGGGAGGCAGTTGGCAAGGTTTTCCTTTTCCCTGCCCATCAGATCCAGAAAATGGTGGTGATTAAGGACTGCACATGTGTGCTCCCCTCATGCTGGTGGGTAAGATAGTGGTGCATATGTAGGAACCCTTTACTAGCCAGAACTGGGTGTAAGACTGCAAGTCATACCGACCACTTGCTTTCTTCCAGTGTAGGGCCAAAAAGCAGGCAAAGAAGCCCTCCTCTGGCAAAATGTCCTATTATGAGCAAAGGAAGGGGTCTTTCCTCTAAACTGATGTTCTCAGCTTTCAGTACTCCAGAAATGTTGGTAGTTCATATTCTCAGGTGCTCCATCCAACACGGAGTATAGTTAGATATTGTGGGGAACTGCACACTAGTAGCTTAGAGAGAGGGAGGACTGTCCTTGGAAAGGGCACAGGATGTTCTCCGCCCCTGTCTCAATATGTCTATTTTATGTCACTACAGAACTGTCTCTTAATAACACTGTGTAACAATATTTGAAAAACTTTCTGGTCCAGGTTTGAAACTATTATTTCCTATTTAATTTTGCGGTACTTACTTTGAAAGTAGTTGTTATACTCCAGAAACTTCATTTTTTGTGGCTGCCACAAACTGTGTTGAATTGATGAGACTCTGTGAGATATTCATTGAAAAACTTTAACAAAACGTGATGCAGGATGTTCCGTAAAAACAAAGTTTTTGCAGTTTAATAATTTTTTACATGCTTTTACAAAAGAACCAATTGGGAAATGACATTTATAACCAAGGAACAAATTCTTATTACATAATGTAATTTAAGAGAGGGATTGGGCTCTGCCCTGCTTCATGGGACTCGGTTTTCTGTTTCCACCATGGAAGGAAGACTGGTTCCCTAACCATTTTCTCACTCCTGCAGGTGAAAGATGACGGGCACATCTTGGGGTCGCTCTCCCTCCCCCTGACGCAACTACTGGTAGCAGAAGGGCTAGTCCTCGACCAATGGTTCCAGCTCAACAATGCCGGATCAACCTCCCAGATCCTAATGAGAGTGCAGCTTGGGGTAAGGGCAGAGATGTATAATTTCCCAAAAATTTGGAACCATGTAAGAAAACTTGTTCCCACCACACATTTTTTTTCCAAAAAAAATCAGAATTTTTTGGGGAATGCAGCAGCTACTGGTAAATTTAAAAATAAAAATAGATACCAATAAAATTACATTAATTGAGGCATCAGTAGGTTAAATGTTTTTGACTATTTACATAAAACTGTAATTTAAGATAAGATTGTCCCACTCTGATTAAATCATTATTCTAACCTTCTTCAATGTAAATATGCTTACATATCCTTCCAATAAAAATAAAGAGAGCAAAATAATAAATGTAAAAAACAATAATAGAGTAAAATAATGGAAATATAGTAATAACAGTAATAAAGTAAAATAATAAATGTAATAAAATAATAATAATACCAGAACAAAATAATAAATAACCTTGACTTGAGTGTAAGCCGCAGGGGGCTTTTTCAGTCTAAAAAAAGGGCTGAAAAACTCAACTTATACTCGAGTATATATGCTATATTATCTGATTTCTGGTCCCAGGATACCATAGCATTTTGAGGCCTTCTTATATCTTTGTTTCAAATTAATCTTTCAGGTCCTGAATTGTAAGGAACCTTTTTCAGTTTTCCAATTTGAGGATCAGGGGGAAAAAAACTTCTGTTGTAAAACAAGAAAAAATATTTTGTCTTCATATAGTTCTCCATCATCTCAAACAAGATATATTTTTTTCCTATAGATCAAAGAAAAATAAGACTAGGATATTGTACAAGGGATTAGTTAAACATTTTCCTCTTTTAGAAATGATTTTGAAGCAGGATATATGTGATCACATTGGTTGGCATCTTGCTCAATAGGTAATTATGTGATCAAAATCTGCACTTGCGATCCCGTAACTGTTGGGCATTATCATCTTAATGGCCAAACGTTACCCCAACAATCTACAATTTAAGCTGGCCAGTGTCTCAATTAGCAGGTTTCAAGGAGCTGCAGATCCCAGTGCTGGGAGATGACATCTGCAGTGTTCTACCATTTGCAAGGTGCATTATAGACTAGTAGTTTTGGTAGGACTCTGTTGGGTCTCTGCAACTGCCTGTTCTCAACATGCCCAAAACAAAGAAAGTGCCGTAGACACCATTTCCAGCACCCTGACCTCCAGCACTCAAAAACTTTTAGGCTAAGAAGCTGCCAGGCTGAAACTGTACCACTTTGGGGGACGGCATAATCAGAAGGAGGGAAGGATACTAGAGACAAAGTTGAAGTACTTTGGCCACATCATGAGGAGACAGCAAAGCCTAGAGAAGACAATTATGCTGGGGAAAGTGGAAGGCAAAAGGAAGAGGGGCTGACCAAGGGCAAGATGGATGGATGGCATCCTTGAAGTGACTGGACTGACCTTGAAGGAGCTGGGGGTGGTGACGGCCGACAGGGAGCTCTGGCGTGGGCTGGTCCATGAGGTCACGAAGAGACGACTGAACGAATGAACAACAACAACATAATCAGAAGGAACTACGATGACAAAGTTCCATTGCTGAGCTTATATCTGATGGTGAAAGATCTCAGCGGCTGTCTTCAATGTTTTGTTCATCATTCAAAATGAAAATATTCTGCCATCTATTTTTTTATATTTCTGGGGACAATAGACTTTGAAGAAAAAACAGTATATTGCTTTCACACACACACACCCCACCTCAATTCTTAATATCCCTAAGTGAATGGCGGGATGCAGTCTGGGCTCTCTTGTGTGACACACTCTAGTTTTTCACATCTGTAGGGTCTAGTTGTTCTTTATGTATCATAGTGATGTTGGCCATCTTCCATGTCTCTAGTATTTTCTGTTGACTCAAGGCATAATTCATTGTTTCCTTTAGGTATGGTGTCAATTCTTCTTCCATGGTTTTGTAATATATGGCTGTTATTCCATCTGGGCCAGGTGCTTTACTGTGAATCCACTCTGACCACCTTGCTCCTTCTGCTCTCTACAGCTTCTGGTCTCTCAGCACTCTGGAGTGGAGGCTTTTCATGCTGTGATGGGTGAAGACAATGAAGAGAGCTTGCTGAAGGGCTCTGAGACAGAGCTGTACATCCAGGAGGATGGGGACACTAGATCCATGCAAGAACTGCGCCAGCGCATGCCACATGCCAACAGGTACGGAAGGTTCCCTGATGGAGTATGGAGTCCAATGTGGCCAGACAGAGAGTGGATCCCAAAAGGCTAGCACCCCACCCCATAATCTGATTATTCCAGTATAAATATGCCCTCCTTGTACAGGACAAACACATATCTCCTTAACTGAGTGCTTCAGTGGCCAGGATGCGATGTTCCTGGAGCATTCAGAGTCCAATATCTTCACAGAGGATATCTTCTTCCTTCAGGCAGAAGAGCCATCTTGTTTCGTTTAGAAGGCAGCTCTATGACCAGTGTTTGCTGAACAGACAGATGATGGCCTTTAATTATATATTGCCTGTGACAGAAATGGTGCTGAGTGATTTTGACTCCTATATAATATCCCAGAGTACTTGTAAGGTATCAGCACAAACACAAAACAATCTATGCATAATGTCAAAGTGTAATATCAAAAGAGCACATAGTATTCCATTTACCAAAATCCCCAGTACATAGCTCAATTCAGTGGCACACAGCAAAATCAAAAGGAGCAGCTGCTCTCAAACGTAACAGTTCTAGGTCTGGATAAGGATTCCACTGTATATAGGCTTCAGGGATACATTCAATAAGAAAAATCATGTAAACACAGTAAGCATTGAGTCATGAGGCTATAAGTAGACTGAAGACAATAATGAAGATGGAGCACCACTCTCAAAACAATTTTCATGGAAAAAATCCAAATCAAATCCAGTGAAAATGGAGCACTGCTTCTCAAAATAAGTCTTCAAAGGAAAAGTCCAAATGGCATTCAACAGGAGTGCTCGGGTATTTTTGTACCCTGTATCGGGCACCCCATATTGTGTACCTGTTAGATGCACAGTTTATTTTAATACCAACAGAGGATGTGTCCATATGATTGGCAGAGGGTCCTCCAATCCCCTTCCTGGCTGTCTGTGTCTCCCGTCCTCCTCATTGGACGTCCTGGCTCTTGGCCTCTTTCTCCTCTCTGCCAGCCCTGCTGCTTTCAGTCTGTTCTGATCTTTCAGTGGCTTTGTGTTGGCAGGGAAGGCTTTGGTGGTGATTACAACCTCTGTCTTTTCTATTGTCTTAGCTTCTTCCCTGTCACAGAGGACCTTTGCAGCCTCCTGGGGGGTAACTGTTTTGCGGGGAGGGACATTAGAAAGGGCCAGGGTAGGCCTGTAAAACTAAAGCCAGTACAACTGTGGCTCTTGAATAACATCTTGTTAATGCAGATCGGATGAGTGGTCTTGGAGCTTTTTGCCAGAAAGAGACAGACAACGCTTGCTGTTTATGTACGTAATATATTTAACACTTTGCAAGGTGAGCACTCCTCCATCGTGAAGCATAATGCTCATCTGGGCTTTGGGAACACCAGCAAGTCTCCCTCTCTCTGCAGCAAAATTAAGCTGCAGGAAAAAAAATTCCATGGCCTTGCTTTCCCACCAACTTGCACTGCTGTTTTGTGTAGGTAGCTACGACTACCTAAAGAACTTTTCATGGCTGATGACATTCTGCTGCCCCAGTTACACGCCTCATTGATCTCTGTCTGCATCTGTGGGTGCAACATGGAAAACAAAGAATCTTGCCATGGATTCTCTTTCCATGCTCTTGAAGCATCTCTGAAAAGACTGTGCTTTCCTCTTCATCTGTGTGTTACTGTCTGTATCTCTTACGCCATTGCATTTCCTCCCTCTAGCCGTCCATGCCACCAAGAAGTATCTAAAAATGTCTCACCTTTTCCTCACCCCAGATCCTCCCATGTTACTATGACGCACCCACACACCTTGCTAATGTCTCTCTACACTTGTGTGCAATTCTGCATTGCAGCAATTTGGAGCTCTCAGACTCACCCCTGGGACAGCTGCACCTCACCGTCTGGTACAACATGGATGCCCGCAAACTCATTGCCATCATACATGCCTGCAGGTACTGACTAGAGGAACAAAACATGGCTTCATTTGGCTGAGGGAATAGGATGGGAAAGTGAAAGCTCTGCTGCTTACATGTTCTTGTCTAGAAAACTGGAAAATACTTCTTGGTCAACTTGCTGGGTTTTTCACATTCCTCAGGAGAGTTTTAAAAACAAACATTGAGGAGGAGCATATTCTCTTCCACCTTTTGCAATGACTAAATTCCTCTCCTCCAGGCTCATAGGTTTTATGTGATTGCCCCCTAAAATGATCATTCTGTGGCTAATAGGGGATATGGGATCAGAGTCAGGCGCAAACTGATGACACCATCCACTAAGACCCTAGTTAACCGTAGTAGAGAACCATGAGACCTGGCAATGGTTCGTAGCAAACTTATGCTCTGCTGGGAAATGTAGGATCTCAGCTGATATATGATAAACTTTACTGGTGGTGCAGGTATTTTAATCCCAAGGCTTTGCTGATTTTTCTAAGGCTGTAAGAATGCTGTCCTATATTTGAATATTGCAGTGCAGAAGATCCACTCTTATGGTGACTTTTTAAAAAAACCCATCTTATGCCATGGAAGGAATGTATTTAATTAGTGAGAGATTGCCCTTGGTAGACCCCAAAGAGCTTAGGTTGCTATTTGTGATGTCTAAGCTTTACCTCCTTTTCCCCTGCATTTCCCACATTCCAGGAATCTGAAGTCAAGTGCCAAGGATATTCCTGATCCCTACGTCTCCCTCATTCTGCTGCCTGACAAATCCCGTGTCACCAAGAGAAAGACTGCTGTGCGGAAGAAGACTCTTAACCCGGAGTTCAACGAGAAGTAAGAAAGAACCCTTTGGTGGGTGGGTGACTGAAAAGGAAAGGAAAGGCCAAGAGTGTAAGGCAAGATCAAGAAACACTGAACAAGGACAATGGGAGGAATGAGGAAACACTGCACAGCCCATCAAGGATCTGCATCCCTCCCTCCCTCCCTCCCTCCCTTCTTTCTGCTGAGCCTGATTAGTCCCAATACTAAAGACCAAGATATAGCCTGATTGGCTGGGCACACCTTTCTCCCCTGCTCTACGAAGCAAGGGGTAGATATAAAATAAAATCACGTTTTTTTGTTGTGTGGGCCTAGATAATGATAGTGGGATGCAGGAGAATAGTATCAAGAATTGGAGCAGGATGACAGCATAGTGTAGTATCTTCTGCTACAAGGAAGGGTCTTGCAATGAATGATTATTTCAGTGAATGGCTGACTGCATGTTTAGGGGATGGAAGAGAGACGGGAGCAGGATAGTTACTCCATCACGGTCTCTGTGAAATTGCACATATAGTATTTCCTGCGCAGTCAGTTCAGAATCTTCTAGAACTCTAAGATACATATTGGCAGAAGCCCCGCCCACACTCTCCATGGGGAACTGAGGCGGTAGCCTCTCCCACTGGCTATATAGCTTCATGCCTTTTCTCCTGAAATTATCTGTTTTCAGATTTATCACCATAGTGAGTGTAGACAGACCCCATTTCTCCCCCTGCGATCTTCTGCTCTCTCTCTCTCAATGGGATTTTTATGGATTGCTAACTTCAGATTTTTTAGAAGAGAGAGAGAGAAAAGGAAGTAAAAGTACAATTTCAAAAGGTTAGAATCAAGCAAAAACATACAGTCGCTCCCACTGGATTGTGGGCGGGGCTTCTGTCAAAATGTATCTTAGAGTTCTAGAAGATTCCGAACTGACTGCGTGGGCACATACCAAATGTGTGAATTTCACAGATAACAACTCGGAGAAACAGTTACAGATAAGCAACTATTACTTCTGGCTTATACTTGCTCCTGATTGCTCTGGATACATACTTTTGGTTGCTAACATGCATTAGATTCCTTGTTATACCTGTAAGTATGAATTAATTTAGTAAAGAGACAGCCACACTTTTATGGTTGTTGCAACTATTCAGCTTACAAAAAGAGAATTAAGATCAGGTGGGGTAATTTGTATTCAATGATGATATGGTTAAGTAAGACCTCTATAACTGCAGAACACATATCCATGGTTTCATTTACTCAAGCCTAGTGAGAAAATGGTCTCTCTAGGAATTTGCTGGGTCGTCCATGTGATTTGATGGTATACTTCCCCTGAAAGTTGCTATAGACATAGATTTATCAAATTCCTAGAGAAGATACCTCTTCAGATTCTTTAGGTCTTCCACTGTAACTTTATGCTATGCTGGGGCCAGAAGTAAGACAATTTATTAACATTTGGTCATATCTGCAGTTATCTGCAGTTAAGCGTCTTAAGGTGCCTCCTCCCATTTTGTTTTTATTTCATTAAAATTTTAAAACACCCTGGATCTACAAAGGACATAGAATTGTTGAGAATTTAAAAAAGCAAATGATAAGCAAATAAAAGACAGCTAAATTCATACAATAACATTGTTGAACAGGTTTGAATGGGACCTAACATTGGAAGAAGCTCAACGGAGAAAGCTGGAGGCCTACATCAAAAATAGTGTCTCATTTATGTCCCGAGGAGAGCCAATTGGAAAGGTAGGAGATGGATATAGTGATTGCCAAGAGTTAAGCTTTAATAGCCAATAGAGAACTTGCAAAAGAGGTGGAGGCACATGATCAATCCCCAACCTTTTTGTTTATTTCCAAGGTACACATTGATCTCTCACAGAAGGACCTGACACAGGGTGCTGCCCAGTGGTGAGTATTGCCTGAGCAGGGGTAATGGATAGGAAAATATGTGCAAATGGGCAAATGGCCAGATCAGCTTTGTATTTTTATCCTTTACTATGTCAGAGGCTAGGCCCATTGGTCTGTTGTATCATGTCATGTTTTGCCTATACGCAGTGCACTAAAGGAGGGAGGCCAGAGAGAGTTTGGAGAAAGTTATTGAGTTGGAGAGTTGGAAGTCAGGGTCTCCTTAGAACAAGGATAGTAGCATGCAGTACAGTCACCTTTGGCAAAGGCAACATGTGCAATTACATCAAATGAAGGTTATATGGACTAGGGTGTCCCATTTAGTAAGGTCACACAATGGAGAAACAGGTTCAGAGACATAGCATTCAGGTTCCAGCAAACTAGACTAGATAGCTGCCAGTGAGCTTAGACAGCCTGTCAGTGTATGTGCACATGCCTGTGCTACACACACACAAACACACACACACACACCATTTTCCTCCCTGAGGAAGAGCAGACTGAGCCTTGTCCTTGTGTGAGACTTTCTTAGAGCACTGTAAGGTACGGACAATGATATAATGAGGAGAAATCATGATTCAAAGTTAGGATTGAGAATTGCATATGAAAACAGATCATTCCAGAAGCCATGGTTGAAAGTTGGGAATATTGCTGTAACTCCCCACTGTCTTACCCAGCACATCCAGTAGTGAAGGAACATTTTAGTGCAACAATATCTGGGGAGCCACATGTTTTCCCACCTTAATTCTAGATCATCCCTATTGAGCCAAGCCAGGCTACATAGGACAGCACTGTGTTTTTCTCTCCTACTTGGGCTGTCAAGCACTCTAGTCCTGGGACTATTCACTATAATTTTCTTCTTTTCACACTTGACCTTTTCCATGGAAGCTCCATTCTTGTAAAAATAAACTCGGTCCCACCCCCATCACAATCTCAGCTGGTGGGAACGAAAGAGGGGGCCTCTTCGTGATCGCTCCCAGTCTCTGGAACTCCTTCCCTCAAGAAATAAAAACGGCCTTCACCCTCCTCTCTTTTAAGAAACTTCTGAAAATGCACATATGCACTTTAAGTACGGAGAGGAGGAGGATTAGGACATTTTAACCCATTGGTACACTGGCTAACCCACTTGTATTTTATGGCTGGTACGATACATCTTAAATGAATACTGGTGTTAGCCATTTTAATGTCATTGTATCATAATTGCTTTTAGGGTATATGTTGTAATGTTTTACTCATGTTTTAGTTTATTATGTCTTACTGGATTGTCTTTTATTATTTTCATCTTGATGCTTTATTCTTTGTTTTAACTTTACTGTTGTTTCTGTGCCTTATCTTGTATTATTTTGATGTGTTTGTATTCATTTGAGGTATTTAATGTTTGCCTTTGGTTTTGTGCCTATAAATGGCCCTGAGTACCTTTGGGGAGAGAAGGCGGCGGTCTAGAAATAAGATGGTGAAAGTTGACTTGCGTATGACAGTCCATTTTATGAGTGGAATAGTTTCTTCTGAGCAGAGTTTGTCAGGAAAGCAGGGTACCTGGAGGATGTAAACTAGACTACCTCACCAGTTGCTTCATATACTGAATCCTTGGTTGGGAAATTCTACTTCAATTGGCAAACTCTCAGCCTCTCCCTGGCATAGTGTTGACTTAATCTTGGCAACAATGGCTTTGGAGATGTTTTACATCAAGTCAGGAAAGCCTCTGCTTATGGGCTTCCCAGGGGTTCTGTACTGTGAAAGGCCAGACAGGCCTTTGGTTTGTGCCAGCAGGACTCTTCTTGTGCTCTTAAAGTGCTTTCTTTCTCTTACAGGTACGACTTAAAAGATGACAAAGCCAGCTCCTAGTCTCCACGGTGCCTCCTTTCTTGAAACTTAACCATCCATGGGGTTAAAGAGCTGGCATGAGCGCTGCTGCCACCACCCGCTGCCACCCTTCACTGCAGGATCGCACGCTCGCCGCCCTCTGCCCCTACTGGGTGGCCTTTTCAGTGTTTTGTTTTTAAGCAATCATAGTGTTGTTGTTTTTTTAAAAAATCAACTTTTTCCATGTAAAGCTCTTTAGGGCAGAGAAGTTACTTCTGGGTGAATTTTGTTGGAGATGATACGGGGAGGGAGGGAGGGGCAAGGCAGGAAGAGTCACTCCTTGCATTCACTATTTGTGCTTCTCTCAACATTTCAAGCCACACGCTGCCTTTTTTATTGACCAAAGAAGCGGGCCTTTTTCATCCTTCTATTGAGGGTAATGTTCCTAGGTCCTCTAGATGCTTTCTGGAGGAGAAGGTCCAAAGACCAGCAGTAAACAGAGCTCCAGGTGTGACATATTAGCTACAGAAGCATAAGGAGACCAAGCATTGGAGGGACCAATTCTTTTCCCCCGCAGTAGTAGCAGAGGATAAATAACCAAAGGGTTTTTATACATGAGGATGGTCAGTGGTGTCTCTTGAGTGGGGCAGCCACCCATTTTTATCTAGAAAAGGAACATGATACAACTTCTGCTCTGGGATTGCTCACCAGGGAGAAGTGGATAGTGGTTGGGAAGCTGTCTTAGTTCTCCTGCTAATATGGTTCTCTGGTGGCATTCACTCATACTGAATGATAGGATTGAAAAACAGATGTAGAGGAGGAGATGCAATAGCTAAAAAAATTATTTGTGCTCTGCTCCATCCCATTTGGGAATCCATGGCTCTGACGTCTCTGCTTTTACCTGATGCCCCAAGCTGCACTGTGTCTCTTTTCTATTTTTTTTAATGTTGTATTTTTGCAAATCCTGTCTCCTAAGAGCAGCAGTTCAGGATCACCTGGCCACACAGAACCCGTTCCTTGTTTGTCCCAACTTCTTTACGTTGAGTCTGTTTGGTATCTTGTGCCATTCCACTGTCTGCTGCTGAATCCAGATGGACAGAGAGCTTCTGTGAAATATCTTTATTTGTGCCACTTTTTATTAGTGCTGTTTTTAAAACGAATGTTTGTTTGGTGCCTTCTTGCACTCCAGTCCCAGAATGGGGCACGTGGAGTGGAAAAACCTCCTCCACCTCACCCCTCCCTACAAAAGCTTCAAGGCTTTGTATGTTTCTGTAGCAAGGAAAATGTGATTCCATGCTCCAAATCAGATTTTACAGTGATGCAGAATTTATTTAACTATACATAGATTAATTTGCAATAATTACATTTTGACTCTCCTTTGATATTTTGAATGGTAAAGTGGTGGGGGGAATGAACGGACATGACGTCAATGAGGTGAAAGGTGGTTTGCTTCAAGGAAGGAGACATCGGATGGGGGACATAAGACCAGAAGCCCTGCTCCTGGTTCCTGAACATATACTGAAAGCATGACTGTTAACATCTTCTCTGCTGCAGCATGAAGAACTTCAAACATGAGCTTCTAGGGCTTTCCTACGCATTAAGAACTCAAGAGCTCTATCCTCTTTCTTAGAGCAAGAAATCACTGCTTGCACATTTGCACTGCTATGAGAGCTTGGGATGGATAGGAGAAGTAGAATGAACAGTATTCAAAATAGTGCTCACCTCACTCAGACATACACACTAGGCATGGGCAATCCATGATTCTAAATGGTTCTAAAGTACTTACAAAACTAGAGGGCGCTGGTGCTTTGCTTCTAAAGTGTTGCTAAAGTTCTGGTGGTGAAAATATTTAGAACTCTAATAAAACATTCAAAATTTCATTATTTTATTGCCAATTTTTATGACAGAACCAGTTAGGAACTGCTATTTATAACAAAATTTTGTAAGTTTTGTTAGAGTTCTGAAGTTTTCACCACCAGAACTTTTGCAACACTTTAGGAGCAAAGCACCAGCACCCCCTAGTTTTGTAAGTACTTTAGAACCATGGATCGCCCATGTGCAATACACACCACATCAATAACATTAATAAAGGCCTTGCCTTCACCCTTATGCAATTCTCCCTTGTGCTGCGCTTTTGCTGAGGATGCCTTCCATAAAGCATGTGAGCAGCATGAATCTCTTCCCCTGTTTTATCTGGCAGCTGAACGTTGGGGTTTGGCTTTTGTGGAGAATTGCCGTTTACAGTGTTGCTATGAGAAAGAATCACCTTGCTTTCGTGATTTTTCCTTTTCAATCATGGGGATCAATTCTCAGGAAGCTGAATCTTGAAAGATGCCTCCTAATAACTGTAGTCCTTGCCTGCTGTTTTAGACGTTGAGATCTGGGGCGCAGGATTTATAGACTTCCCCCCATGAAAATCATCCCCATGCCATCCTTTCTGAACTTCAACTGCACACAGATTTTACCAGTGTGGCAAATTCTTTTTGTAAAAAAGCCCAGCTCGCAGGAAATCTGATTTCCCTCTCCTTTTTTGCTCATGTGCACTTGCTCTCACATTTTTGAAAAAAGCCAAAAAATAAACAGTCCCCACCTACATTTATTGTGGTCTACTTACAAAGAGTTGTTCTTTTTAATGGCTTATTTCTACACTTTCGACTGTAGCAAATGTGTTTGACACAGCAAACCACCTCCTCATTGAACCCGTCTCTGCTCACCCCAGAACTGCATGTCATCATTTGGGGGGACAGACGACTGCATGTGCCTGTAAGGAGCCCGGCCATTGCTGCCTTTCATGCCAAAGCGAGGCTCCGCCTTATGCTTTTACTCAAGCAGGCTTTAGTGTAAGAGTGTCTTTCTGGCACCGGTGCCTCTCATAGCCGCCGCCACTGTAATGTCTTGTAGCAAATAAAAAAGAGAAGAAAATGTGGTTTTAGTGTCAGGTTTTCCTTATCCTCACCTGTGTTCCCAGGCAATGGGAAATGAAGCATGACATGTTCTAGGTTGCTGTGAGTTTTCTGGGCTGTATGGCCATGTTCCTGAAGCATTTTCTCCTGATGTCTCACCCACATCTATGGCAGACCTCTTCAGAGATTAAGAGGTCTGTTGAATGCTTCTGGAACATGGCCATACAGCCTGGAAAATTCACAGCAACCCAGTGATTCCATGAAAGCCTTTGACAACACAATTACATGTTCTGTTTGCAATTCTGTGGTGTCAACACTCAGTGCAGATCTTCAAGACTCCAGGATTATCTATATGGTTGGTGTGGGAGACTCAAGAAAAGGGAGGCTGGGAAAATTATTCAAATTAAGTCTGCATTGTCTGGATCAGAAGAAGCTTCCCTAAATGAAATCAAATATTGGTCCATGTAACACATTATTGTCAACAGGCCGCAATCTTTCCTAGTCCAATCTGAAAACCTCGGGGGTTTCATATGTGTTTTCCCATATAAGTAGCAACTAGGCCTAGCTTTGCTTAAAGCTTCTGAAATTATGGAAAATAAGAAGCGCTCACAGCCACAAGATGCTAAGCAGGACATTGTAGATTGCTGTGAGTTTTCCGGGCTGTATGGCCATATTCCAGAAGCATTCCCTCCTGACATTTTGCCTGCATCTATGACAGGCCTCCTCAGAGGTGGTAAGGTCTGTTGGAAACTAGGCAAGTGGGGTTTGTGTATCTGGTATGTCCAGGGTGAGAGAAAGAACTCTTGTCTGCTGGAGGCAAGTGTTGGCCACCTTGATTCGCATTTAATGGCCTTGCAGCTTCAAGATCTGACTGCTTACTGCCTGGGGGAGTCCTTTGTTGGGAGGTGATTAGCTGGCCCTGGTGGTTTCTTGTCTAGATTTCCCCTGTTTTTGAGTATTTTTCTTTATTTACTGTTTTGATTTTAGAGTGTTTTAATACTGGTAGCCAGATTTTGTTCATTTTCATGGTTTCCTCCTTTCTGTGGAAACTGTCCACATACTTTTGGATTTCAGTAGCTTCTTTGTGTAGTCTGACATGTAGTTGTTAGAGTGGTTGAATATTTCTGTGTTCTCAGAAAATATGCTGTGTCCAGGTTGGTTCATCAAGTGCTCTGTTATGGCTGATTTTTCTGGTTGAAGTAGTCTACAGTGTCTTTCATGTTCCTTGCAGTAAGCAGCCAGACCTTGGAGCTGCAAGGCCATTAAATGGTAATCAAGGTGGCCAATTAGACAAGAGTTCTTTCTCCCACCCTAGACATTATTCCACAGATATATAAACCCCCACTTGCTTAGTTTCCAACAAACCTCACAACTTCTGAGGAAACGTCAGGAGAGAATGCTTCTGGAACATGGCCTTACAGCCAGGAAAACTCACAGTAACCCAGTGATTCTAGCCATGAAAGCTTTCGACAATAAATTGCTAGATATGTTTATTCCTGTAGGCATGAATGTGCGCCCCTCATTATGCAGCTTTTTGGTTGCTCCAGATATAGATGCACTAGTCTGCACACAGCTAGTTGTATTTATTATTTACTTATTCTCTTTATTTTTATGCCACATTTCTTCCCATACGGATTCAAGGTGGCTAACAATAACATGACACAACATAAGATTGCTGTAGGTAGGATTAATAGGGGCAGGTGAAAACCCAGCCTTTGAGAACTGGATAAGCAGACATTAAGGCTGGACAAGCTTTTGCCATCAGTGACTGTTTTCCATTATTTGTAGATAGATTAGTAACAGCGCTCCATGCAGTCATGCTAGCCACATGACTTTGGAGGTGCCTACAGACAACGCCGGTTCTTTGGCTTAAAAATGGAGATGAGCAACAACTCCCAGAGTCGGACACGACTGGACTTAATGTCAGGGGAAAACCTTACCTTTACTTTAGTAACACACAGCTTAGTCTTACCTAACCTTGTTTTAGGGCAAGGAAACAATACTGGATTCATTTCTCTACATTTGGAAGTTATCACTTATACATTGTCAGTACTGATGGTCAACCCCTCAAAATTAGCATCACATATTGGAATGGTTAGAGCTTCTAAATGCTGACAGAAGGAGAAGAAGTGACCTTGATACCAGAAGTACCACACTTTCCAGAACACATTTCAATATGCTAAGCATGTTACACTTTGGAAGCACCAAATATGTAAAAAATTATTTTCCCACCAACGTCAAGTCCACATTTTTTAAAGTATCTAAATTTGATACACTTTAAAATAGTATATATTTGTTTCCCTGTGAGAACACCATGTTTGTTAGTTAGGTTTGTTACAAAACCTTTGATGTCCATAACAGATAATGCACACTACTTTTTTCTGGTGGTGCACTATGTTCTGGTGGTCACTTAATTCTTGTTCTCAAAGGAGGAAGGCAAGACATACCACCTCGGTGGTTAACGTATGAGCAATAAAAACTTGGTCAGAGTAATCTCTGCTTCTTTCTCTATTGGAACTGAAGTTTAACTGGTACCCAACTCAGTTAAGCAATTTCCAATTCTTGGTGGCTCCTAGATTCTGTCCTGATCTCTAAGACACCTGACTGGTCCTGGGCTTCCATATTCACTTCTCACTGGGAAAAACCTTAAAGCAGAGTTAACAAAGATCCAAGTCCTGCAATAAAGTGACATTCAACTTGTGGGCAACATGACTAGATGTGGTGGATACTGATGTGCATATGGCCGCCTGTTATTTGAAGGACTTCCCAGTTCAAGCCCAGTTTAAGAGCCCAGCAGAGATCAGGCTGAGTAAGCAGACACACAAGTCATCTATTTGGGGAAATGAAAATCTTCATAATCTTTTGGAAAATGACATTCATAACCTTTTGGAAAAACCAGGATTCTCCCTGAGAAGAGTTAAAAACTTGCTTAAGTCAACCACCTTCTTAGTGGTAAATATGCAGTAACAATTCATGCAAGGCAGTTAGGTTTCTCAGTTGTTAAACTGATATAACTAGATTTTATTTATTTATTTATTTATTTGTATTATTTGTATTATTTATTTACTATATTTATATACCGTCCCTCTCAGCCCACAGGTGACTCAGGGCAGTTCACAGTCGGTACCAAGACCATAAAATACAAAAAAATTTAAAATAATATTAAACCATAGCAAAATCAATGACAAACATATATCATTAGCGTCTCCTTGCAAAAAACATTGACCAATCACATCGTCTAATCGTTCCATTTTCCTATGTCACCGTACTTGCAATTGTTTGCTCAAAAAGCCAAGTCTTGACTTTTTTCGGAATGTTAAAAGGGAAGGGGCCGATCTTTTATCCCTAGAGAGGACGTTCCATAGCCGAGGAGCCACCACTGAGAAGGCCCTGTCTCCCCCGCCAGACGTGCTTTTGACAAGGGTGGGATCAAGAGCAGGGCCTCCCCAGACAATCTTAAAGTCCTGGAAGGTTCATAAGGGGAGATGCGTTCGGACAGGTAAGTTGGGCCAGAACCGATATCTCTGAACTGTTAGGAACAAAAATATGGCAATGAACAAAACAACAGCGGAGTCTCAGAAGTGTTCTTTTCAGCTGCCCAAAAAACATTTACTCCCCCTTAAAACATCTTGGTTTAAATCATGCTTTCAAGAGACCAAAAATAAGTAGACTTATTTGAAAGTAACTTATCTGGTTAACTCAAAAACTTTATGTATTCACCATACAGGTACATTGCTTATCAATTCAGATAGGATTTGAAGTAGTTTTCTGTGCAGATAACACAGGCATCTTTCTTAAAATCAAGAGTCCGAAGTCTAAAGCTTCTCTTTGTTATGAGAGTCTAATTGAGTCTCTGTCCTCTAAAGCATTCTGTTTCTACTAATTTCTAAATGCATACTGTTTCTAAAACACAGTCCAAGTCCTGAACAAGTCCCAGATCTGGTCACATGGTTTGCAGCCCCTCCCACAACACAGAGTTAAGAAAAGCTGCATGCCAACAGACACATATACAATACAGGAAGCAATATGAATTCGATACATAACAAATAACTAGTATAGGAGGCTTGAAGAAGATTGCTATTTCCAACAATTTAATCATTGTTTTTTGTGTTGTAGTAATATATTCTTCCCTTCAGGTTACCTAGCAATAATTTCTCAATGTTCTTTTAATTTCTAAATGCCCCAATACAATTGGCATATCCAGCTCTGATACTAACTTGCACCCTCTTTTTTGTCATTGCTCCCTAGACACTCTAGCTCAGCGCTTCTCAACCTGGGGGTCACGACCCCGGGGGGGATCGTGAGGGGGCATCAGAGAGGTCGCCAGAGACCATCAGAAAAAATAGCATTTTCTGTTGATCATGGAAGTTCTTTGTCGGAAGTTTGGCCCAATTCGATCATTGGTGGAGTTCAGAATGCTTTTTGATTGTAGGTGAACTATAAATCCCAGGAACTACAGCTCCCAAATGTCAAGGTCTATATTTTAAAGGTCTATTTTCTCCAAACTCTACCAATGTTCACATTTGGGCTTACTGAGTATCCCTGCCAAGTTTGGTCCTGATCTATCATTGTTTGCGTCCACAATGTTCCCTGGATATAGATGAACTATAACTCCAAAACTCAAGGTCAATTCCCACCAAACCCTTCCAGTGTTTTCTGTTGGTCATGGGAGTTCTGTGTGCCAAGTTTGGTTGAATTCCATCGTTGGTGGAGTTCAGAATGATCTTTGATTGCAGGTGAACTATAAATCCCAGCAACTACAACTCTCAAATGACAAAATCAATCCACTCCCAACCCCACGAGTATTTAATTTTGGGAGCATCGGGTATTTGTGCCAAATTTGGTCCAGTGAATGAAAATACATCCTGCATATCAGATATTGACATTACGATTCATAACAGGAGAAAAATTACAGTTACGAAGTAGCAAGAAAATAATGTTATGGTTGGGGGTCACCACAACATGAGGAACTGTGTTAAGGAGTTGTGGCATTAGAAGGTTGAGAACCAATGTTGTAGTTTGC